CATCAGTTGGTTGTGTTTTAAAAATCCTGTTATTTTGGGCACCTGGGTGGCTCAGTTGGTTAAGTGACTGCCTTTGGCTCAGGTCGTGGTCCCGGAGTCCTGGGATCGAGTCCTGCATCGGGATCCCGGCTCAGCAGGGAGCCTGCTTCTCCCTCTGACCCTCTCCCCTCTCATGCTGTTTCTCTCTCTCTCTCTCAAATAAATAAATAAAATCTTTAAAAAAAAAAAAAATTCGGGTTTTTTTTTTTTTTAAGTCAGTATAAACTGTTAGACTACAAAAGACTTTTTATCTCCAAGGAAACATCGTGATGCCAGTGAGGATAAATCTATCGGTTAAGTCCGTAATAACCTAAACCCTGAGGCTGTGAAGGGCCACCGCACCAGTGAAGCTTCTTACCAAAGGAAAAGTCCCAACCTTCATTGCACCTGCTAAAGTGCTGCGTTATGCCTCCTTATTTGTCAAGAGAAGAAAATAAAGAGAAAGCACTGCTTTAGAAATCATTTTGCAAGACAAGAATCTTTTTAAGCTGAAAATATAGAATCAAGGCAACTTAAAAAGCTCTATAGCTCCCAGGAAGCAGAAAAGGGTCATAGGCAGAATGGGAAAATTTCTAATCTAGTTAAGACATCCATTACAAAGACACGGAAGTCATTATTTCTAGGGTTCTGCAGCTAATTTAGTAGCTGTAATCCTGCAGAAGCGAGCCCAGCTCCTACAAGGGCATTGCTATGAGCTACATGCTACACCACTCATTTCTTTGTGAAGTTAAAGCAGATCTCAAGCCCTAAGAGCAGCTTTTTCGTAGGTCGCAAATGAAATATCACTGGTGTGGATTAAACATAAAAATGCACTTATTTTTATGAGATAAATTAGATGTTAAAAATGTACTAAAAATTGCAAGAAAGGATGATACAAAGGCGGTGAATGGTGATAGGAAAAAATCGTGGCTTAGAGGCAGGAGAAGAGAATGAGGGAAGACAGAAAGGCAAATATGAGCAGCTAGACCACCGTCAGGAAAGAATGGAGAAGAGAATGAGCTAGATCGAAGCAAAAATAATTTCGAAGATGAGGAAAGAAAGAAAACAGCAGATCGAGGTGACAACAGATATGGATTATAAAAGAGAGAAGTATGAAGGAAAATGCGGGGTTTCTCTGAGCAGGCAGGTCAACAAAAGTATGGGTAAAGCACACATGCCTCCGCCTGGGTTTTCTGATCAATAGAAGAACCATGAGAATATTCCAGGGTTGTCTGTGTGTCTGGAAGAATTTATGAGAATCTAAGAGGATTTGAGAATCCAAGTAGACTAGAATTTTGGGCTGGCCACTTTTCTCCTAAAACACTCCAAAACAGGAGAGTTTAAATGAGGTCTTGGAGAGGAACAGATGTGGGGGGTTGCTGAGGCTTGGAGAAGATGGGGAAGGGGGAGGTCCAGGTGGGGAGGGGACAGGCAGTGGGTGGACAGAGTTCACCAAGGAGAAGTACTGGGAGGTATGCCTAGAGGCAGGTGACCAGAGAAAGAAAAGCCTAGAAAAGGAGTTCAATGGGGTTTTCTCCCTGAGGAAATGTTCTCACCCAGAGGCTACACAGCAGGCCCTCATCCCTGACAGTGTCTATCAGAGCAATGTGTACAAGCAACCCCGAGTAAAAAAAGAAAAAAAATACCTCACATAAGACAGGCAACTGCTTGTCACGGAAATGCAACTGGAACCATGCATCCTTCCCATCTAGGGACAGGAACCACTGGGCGGATAAATCACTGAGGGGGCTCAGGTTCCTTGCTTGGCTGCTAGCCACGGAGCAGACAACACTACAGAAAGGTCGATTTAGTTACGGACCTCAAAACAGTGCATAAAGCAAGTAACATAGCTGAAAGAAGCCTATTTAGGAAAAGCCAAGGGGATGATGAAGGAGAAGGCAGGAGTGTTGCAACTGGATGACAACGCGGGGGAAAGGGGTGGACGCACTGAGGCACAGAAGGAAGAGTTACACACTTCGTGAAATATTTTATCATTTCTTTCTTTCTATGAAAGACTATAAATATTCATAAGGCAATGGTAATGAAGGGAAACTGTTTTTAAAAATCCAATGGAGTGTCACTGAAATAGGTCAAATACAAGTACATTATCAGCATCCGGAACATGCAGAACATTCACAGGCTCTTGGCAATAAACTTTTTAAAAGAATATTTGTATAAAGCAGGCGACAGTGACCAAGTTTATCTCCCAAAGACACAGAAGGGACTCCTCTGTTCTGTTGCATAGAAATATTAAAATACCTTTGGTCATTGTGTATGTGGAACCCATAGAGAAGGAAGGGCACAGAGAGGGGACAGTCAATTCCCACAAGTGCCTTTCTTCCTAGAAAGGAGCGGAAGTGACTAAAACACAGCACCACGACTCTGGAACTTTACAGTCCCTTTGGCGTGGAAGTTTCCTCCCACCCGCGCTGGTCTCCCTTCATTCATCTGTCAAATGAAGGCTGTTGTACTCTGCAGAACAGTCTTTTGGTTCTGAGCTAAACTGTATTCATGTCCAGAGAGCCCAGGTTTGTAAAAAGGAATCATTTTAAGAAGCTGCCTTTTAAAAAAAAAAAAAATTAACAAAAAGAGCATGAAGCATATGGCAATGTAGTGAGCATAAGATGTCCACAGTGGTTATAAAAGCTAAATCTCGCTTCTTTGAGATAAAAGACCTCGTAAAGGAAGTCGGTGTGGCAGTGTCTGGCTGTAGCCAATCTTGCATTGGGAGGAAGCTAGCCATTCTTCCCCAGAAGGAGCCTGTGACGAGACTGTCCCCTACCTTGAAAAAGAGTAACACGAAAAGATTGTGCGCTCCAATACAAAGCTGCAAAAAACACTTAAAATTTTCAACTTAGGAAACTTAAAAAGACATCAGATCACAAATTTTCCAAATGAGAAATAATGGGTTAGAGAAAGAAAGGATGTTACTCAAAATCATTGTCTCCTCGTCATACCCTGAATATAATTTTTGAGAAAAAAATTCCTTAGTTATTAATATATCAAATTAAATTTCTAAAAATTATTCCTCCGAGGAGCAGCACATTTGAACCCAATATACATTTTTTTCCATGACATTTTTTTTGTTAGCAAAACGAGCGCAAATTCTGTTGGAGTTCATAAAATTCCTTGTATCTCAAGAGTATAAAATTATATCAATGCCAGAAAATCCTTCTTTCTTGATCTCCCTCTTTACCCCCAACATCAGTCTGAAGTTGTAAGCTATGTTACAACCAAATGTAATATCAAACATGAGCTAACATTTCAAATGGATATCCTCTGGTGACACTAATGACATTTTAAAGACTGGTGAGAGCATATACATTCTTGCTAAATGTTAGCTCCATGTCCAGGACAGTTTAACCCACTAAAAAAGGAAAACTTAAAAAAAATCAATACAAAATAAAATTGAAGCTATTTACCAAAATATACAAACTATATCCTTGTAGATAAATTGTTACAACAGACATGGAAGTAAATAATAGTTACTTGCAATGTTTGGGGGAGTAAAATTTAGATTTGACTTAGACAATCTTAAATCACGCTGGTAATCCAATATCCATCCGAACAGACACACACCAGTCTGAAGTTAAATACCCTACCCTCTTTTTCCCATATGTCCATCCCCTACCCTGATTTCTCCACCCAATAAAATCTCTGCTCCCCCCAACCCACTCCACAGTGGGATTTCCAACGATTGAGAAATGGCCTTCTTATCAGAGAAGGGTCGGTCGAGTATAAATACAATACAAATTATATAAAACTGAGCATTTCCTTTTATCAGTTCATCTAAGTTATGATATTGGCATCAAATATGTATCTTAGAGAGTGTGTCTTGCTGTATACTTTCCATTTAATTTAGCAAAATATTTAGCGTATCTCAGGAAAAAACAAAGGAAGTCCCCTAAGTAGCCTGGAATCATCCTGAATATTTGTAATGTACACTTGCACATCCATCATCACACTGAAACCTCACAACACCCCTGAGAGACGAATGCTGAGTCTGCCCCCCTCCAGGGGAGGACTGTTGGAATATATGAGCAGACAGGAGAAGGCATTAACAGCCGGATGCAGGGGGCTACCTGGAGGGCACAGGACTGGGATGGATGGAGTCTGAACTTGAGCTTGTGTCTCTGAGTTGAGGCTGCATGAGCAATAAGCTCTAAGAAAGCAGTTGATGATATGGGCCTGCTTAGGGGCTGGAGTTACAAGTTCCAACCCCAAAAATGTTCTGTGCTGGGGGAGGGATGAAGACAACGCAGGATGCCGTCACAATGCCAACCAGGGGAAGGGTCCTCTGGTAACTGCACAGGTGTAGCCCTTGGGAGGAGCAGGGGACAGTGGGGGTGGGGGTGTCTCGCTTTATGAAGGCCATTTCTACTCCAGGACAGAGGAATTTGAAGACAGCTAATTGAGCATGTGGTAGTATAGTGATGAATAAACTGCAGATTTAAGTATATTTGGGAAAGTGAAAAGTCAAAAGGGAGGGAGAGGTAGGTGTGGGGAAGAGGAGCCCCAAAAGGAGTTGTAATCCTCAAGTTACTTGTGAGTCGGAGGCTCAGATGTAGCAAATCGCTTCTGAGGTGCTATGCCCAGGGTCCTAGGTCAGGCCTAACTCAGCTGAGAGCAGGGTTTTTCTGAGAGACCAACATTCAGGGCCTCCAGTTGCGCACAAGTCCTAGAGAAAGCAGACTAGAGTCAAAAAGAAAGCAGACTCAAGCTTTAAGTACCAATGGTCACACATCCATGTCGCTTTGTCCGGAGCTGGGATCTCAGGATTTCAGAGCACATGCTTTGTCCACACTGAGTGAATTTTAGAAATCAATTTTGATCATAAGTAAAACCTCGCCTAAAATGGAGGAAACAGTGTTGATGTCTAGAATTCCGATTATCTGAGCAAAATGCCCTCCCCGCCTTCTCTAAACACCAAATCAAGGTTGGGCGGAAGCAGATGTGTTGTCAGGTAGACTTCCATAACTCACCGATGAAGTGGTTGTGCCCTAAGGCGAGCATCTCCTCCAAGAGGACCAGGCCCCCGGGGGCCTGGAGGAGAGTCACACTCCGTCCATCGATGAGGGAGCACTGTTGGAATCCCGTGGCTGTGACCTTCCACAGCAAAATCAGCGAGGCGGAGGCATCTTGCCGAATTCTGAAAACAGGAATGGAGTGAACCAGAAGTCCCTTTCAGAAAAATTCATCTTAGGACTGGTCCGTCAAATTTATAAATAAAAATAAGATGACATGTGCATCCACCAAGGTCTCGGGAAATCGTTACAAAGGTCTGTCTCCCACTTGCTTAAAAATAGACCACGAGATCATGAATAGATGATTCACCTTTGCATAACAATTGTAATCAATAATAAAAGGGCATCTTGAGTTCTTTTAGAGACAAATCCTTCTGCATCCACACAGAATGGAGCCCTGCTTGAGTTTACTATAAATGTGTCACGCATCCCCAAACAGCCCCTGAGTTGTGCTGCCCACATGAGCGACAGTGTGTCACGACCCATGCTTCGGGCTTCTCTTGGCCTTTTTCTTGTTTCCAGGGTAAAATCAAAGAATGGGATGCTAGAAAACAAATCAGCCTTGGCCTCAGTCCCCCTTTCAAGCTCAAACTCAGAGCTATGGTCCCTCCCCAAGAACGTTCTGTCCCAGCTCCCAGCCTCTGTCCACTCGTGCGCCCGGTTCACGTGCCATTCTGCAACGCTTAGCCCGCAGGTCACCTCTTCTCTGAGACCCTCCCTGACCGTCTTCCCAGCACCCAGCTGCCGCCCCTCCCCTCGTCCATGCTCCTGGAGAAGCAGGTCTCCACCTGTGGGAGAAGATCAGCGTACTCGGCGTGCAGAGCTCCTGGCTTGCAGCAGGGTGTTCAATCGGGGTTTGCTAAAAGGTTGAATTCATGAATAAATGAAAGTCTCAGGGGCTAGCAACCCTTACAAGTGAATTCAGGGCACCCAGAGGTTATTCGGCACTTCCATCTCACTCAGCCTGGGTCAGCCTGCTATTTTGCCCAGTCCTGCAGCCGAGGAGGGTCTTGGAGAACTTCCAAGTTTGTTGAGAGGGGGAAAAAAACAAAAAGCATCTAAAGGGATAAAAGATCAGAACTATTTGGGAAGGCCTATGAAAGTCAGATCAGATGAGTCAGACGAGAAAGCGCTAGGAGAAGGTTTCATAAATGTAAAGGAAACTACGGTCCTTATTTCCCTAAAGCTGGCTCTTACTTCCATCTGTATTCTGAGCAGTGAAACACTAGGACCGGGGTCCCCCTGCTGGTAGAAGTGGAAGCTGCCTAAGAGGCCACACCTTTCTCCCCACGGGGCCTTCTTCCCTGGGCAGAGTTCACTCTCCATCTTGACTCACCCCCAGCAGAGTGAGTTCAAGGCTCCAGGGGAGGGGATGCATTTCAGTTCCATTGTGCAGAAGGAAAGGTGGGCAAAAATGCTTCTGTATAAATGGAAGAGGTCTATAGTGCCCACTGCCCCCTTCACGGGGAGCTGATACAGAGCATTAGCTCACCAGGGTCACATGTCCCTCTAAAGCCCCTGAAGACTGGCCAGCAAATTCCCATTCGGTTGCGTGGGGATGGGGGGTGGGTGGCTAATAGCAACACAGAAAGGCTGAGCAGTGGGAGTTGTCAGACAGGACTGGGTCACTCCAGGGCTGGCTCCACCCCCCACTCCCCACCCTCACCCCCCCACACACACTCCTGCCTGACACACAGCAGGTACTCAGCCCTTGCCTCTTCCCCATCCCCACCTGTGACAGTGGGCAGTACGTCATTTGAAAGAGCTTAAGTTGAAAACAAAGCCAAACAAAACACTCTCTCCTCAGACACTTGTTTTTAAAAACAAAATTGTAATGTTTGCATTTTAAATTATGCCCATGAATTTAACCAATGGCCCACTAAAATCATAAGAGGCCAAAGAATTTTGGAAGCAAAAGTCATTTGGGAAGTGAAGGGTCTGGCTCTGGATCTTAACCAAGGCCTCAGGGTTTCTGATCTCACACCTTACTCATCCCATCCAATTCCACAATTCACCATCCCCAGTCCAACTGGGTCCCCACTGCGATATTCTCCCCTGAAATAGGTCCTTCTGGGTTTTGAGTGATTTAGGCCACGTCTACACATGGAACTCCATTCATGATTCCCACTAGACTGACCAGTTACATGGATGGACAGAACCCCGCTTAGGGCCACAGTATCGAGCTTAACGGTTTCTAGCTGCGGGTTTTCTTACTTGACTGAGGTGTTCTGTGGCACTTCAAAGGATACCAGGCGGCCACCAGCAGAGCTGTTAGAACTCGCATTCCCACAGGCAATATCTGGGACGACCTGGGGAAAAAAAGGGGGGAGAAACAAATTATTGGGGTTGATCGTAATGCAAGATAATATTACAAAGCAAAATCCCATGAGCAGGCTTTGGATGACACTGCAGTGAAGACAGAGAGGGGACAAGTGAAACCTTACAAACTCAAAAGAAAACAAAAGCTCTGCCATTTGATTTTCTGAAACGCCAAAGCTTTCCTGAGAGCCGTCTACCAATTGCTGGATCGCTATCACTGGTGAATAGGGTCCTCTCTCCTGGTTAGCGAGCAGTCCCTGGCCCCTGCTCTAGGCTCAGTCTGGGGTTACGGGGGACTAAATGCTTCCAGAACAAGAAGGCAGACTTTGAGGACCGGCTTACACACAGCAGGCATAAACTAGGAACGCAAGCCTTAGAACGAGCAATCGGCAAGAAGCACCCAGTCTGAGTGACCTTGCTCTGTGCAGAGGTGGGTCTTGGGAGCACAGGCTAAGGCCAAGGAGTTGGGAAGCTGCCTATTTTTTCCCCCGTGGACTACCCTTTCATTTTTTAAGTGACACGTTCCCAAAAGTAACATGCTGATGCATACAAAAAAGGGGCTCAAGAGGGGGGGAGTAATTGCATTCTTCCAGAAAACACGCTGTGAACACTGGAGCTGTGTCCAAGTGAGGTGGTTCGGACCAATTTATTCATTTATTCCTCATGCTGTGAGCATGGTCTTCCCCCAGGGGAGTCAAAACAAAGGGGTATTAAATGTATCCCTCATCAGTGAATTAACTGAGAACAATACAGAAATTCTCGGCCCTTCCACCCACACCCAACACTTAGAACTTCCGGTCCAGTAGGCCTGAGGGTCAAGTGCCATGGAGAAGGCCCGCCATGGATATTCAAAGATGCAAGTCCCACCTGTTCAATTTGTGTTAACTGACAACTGTTACATCAATCTGAGTCCCTTAAGACTCCAAAGAGCTTCATGTTTCTGAAGCCTCATTACTCCATAAAAGGGGAAACCCAAATATATTCCCATCTTCCCCTGGCAACTTTTTTTTTTTTTTAAAGATTTTATTTATTTATTTGACAGAGAGATAGAGAGAGAGAACAAGTAGGCAGAGAGGCAGGCAGAGGGAGAGGGAGAAGCAGGCTCCCCGCCGAGCAGGGAGCCCGATGCAGGGCTTGATCCCGGGGACCCTGGGATCATGACCTGAGCCGAAGGCAGCTGCTTAACCAACTGAGCCACCCAGGTGCCCCCCCTCCCCCGGCAACTTTTTAACCTCCTTCTTGAACAGCCTAAGAAATTATAGCATGCCGGGAAGATAAGGCATTTCTTTCTACATTTACCAACAGTTGGATAGCATGTCTTTAAATAAATAGATTGCAATGGCTGGTTGGGGAGAAACTGTCTTTAAGCGACACTTCCTTGACAAATGTAGAATCAAATCTAGTTCACATTCAAGAAGTGAGTCACTCCGCAAGGAGGGTTCAAATCAAAACTTCAGAGCATTTATTAAAAGTCTGAAATCAGAACACATTCACAGTTTTTTAAGTAGGCTGAAAACACTGTCCTGCAGTCTGAATATGGCCTTCATAAATTGTGTGGCGATGAAAAAAAAAAAATGGGTCAACTGGTTAGAACAACCCAAGAAAGTAAAAGAAGAAATGCTGCCTTGTCTCTTTTATAACAATAAGGGAAACTTCTAGACATATTCCTTGACTCTAAAACTGCTACACAAGATCTATGTGTTTTGTCATTTAAGCTACAAAACCAGTAATAATATATGATCACAGGTTGCCATATAAAATACAAGATATGGAATGGAATTACACTCAATCGATGTCACCTCAAAGTCATGATTTGGATTTGTTCCCTGACTCTCCTAGCTAGCAAATTTATGTTGTATGGCAACTTTCAAGGGTCTGCTGAAAATTCCTCGACATGAGACTTTCAATGAGCTTGAAAATACAAGCCAAACCCAGACTGGACGAGATTCAATAAACAGCATTTGTTCCTGCCAAAATAGATAAAATTTGGAAATTTCATTCTCAAATGCAGTCTCAAAATATTTTAAAAATCACTGATAGCATCTCTTTTTAAAATCATATTGGCGGCAAGGCACCAAATGATGAACAAGAAGTTAAGCATAATATTAAGGAAACTTCGGTCAACAGTGGAGGGTCTGCCCGCAATCCAACACTGTCTCACAGAAATGTGGATATCGTTCCAGAAAAGAACTTCATTCGTTTTCTTTCCTTGCTTACTCTCTTTATGCCCACAAAACAGTCATAACTGAAAAGTCTCCTTCGTGTAACCAGAAGAGATCTCCTACACAAAAGTGCCCATGGGAAGAAGGGTAGACACCTGGTTTTGTCAAGGGGGCAACTGAAAGGTCTTCCGTTTTTATTGCCAATATTAGAACCACTGGAATTATTTTAACCGCACTGGCTCCTTACGCAGGCAATCAAACGTTCTCACCTCCACTTGATCCCATTTCATTTCTACAACTTTCTGCCCTGTTTTGGGCTGCCAGGTGGGCAGGGTCACGGTGGCCTGAGAGCGGGGCAGGATGATGTCGGGCTCCTGGGTGGCGGGGGCAGGCTGCAGCTGCCTGGGGGCCATGGACTCGGTCCAGCCGGAGGCGGGGAGGCTGGGCAGCGCCTGTTCACAGTTGGGACCTTCGTAGCCTTCGTGGCAAACGCAGAGGTAGCCCCCCCTGCTGCTGCTGCTGCTGCTGCTGCAGTTGCCATGGTGACAGGGGGTGCTGGCGCAAGGATCCGCCACGAGCTGAAACGAGACCATAAATGGGTCAATTAGTCCCTCGTAAGAAGAGCGGTGCCATCGCCGGGCAATTAGCTCCGTGTCTCAGAGCTGCGGCTACAGGAAACGCTGCTCCTGCCGTATTCGGGGCCTGAACTACTTGTGCGGTCGTGGGGGAGCCTTCCAAGGTCATCCCAACGTTAACCCTTCCGCAGATACCAAGCGACCAGCAAGAACGCACCTAGGGAACAGCTTCCCCAAACCCCAGCCCCTAAATAATGTTGATTTCAGCAACACATTACTGAGAGGAATTTTCTAGGGCAAAAACATTTAAAACTGAGGCTCATTAGGAAGATACCAACTTTGATATTTTTTTTAGCGGCCAGTCATGACAAAGGATACTAAGGATCTCAACTGGAATCTCCTTTTCCACCGTCTGGACCCTCGTAAGGTTTCCTTATGAGAAAGGACTGCCCAACTAACTTATCTCCCCTAAAGATGTGCTTACCTGTGTCTCCCAATTTCTACCTGATGAACAACCCTTTTTAAGGGGATGTTATTGAATTAAAAGCTTCCAAAATGACTGCCCCGTGTGACAATTTTAGCCAGAGTAGAGCATGGTGAAGACGTACATGAAGCAGAATTTTATGAAAGTTTCTACCTATTTTGGAGGGCGATCACAGAGAAATGTCACCCTGCTGGATATGGAAGATAAAAATTCTCTCACAGGTCTTTAAATTGTGACAATGTTTCTAAGTAAAGTGTCTATCCCTGAGTCTTTTGCTGACCTGTGAATCACCATTTGTTATGACTTGGAGACATGCTAGAAAACAAGGAAATGATCAGCTGCTTCTCTTGAGACAGCTCAAAGGGTTCGGACATGTTCTCAGTGCTTTATTCAATTATCATTTGCTTCTGTGAACAGAAAATTAGACCTCTATCTGATGTACCCCACGCTTCTCAGGGCTGATCATAAAATAGAATTCAGTAAAGAATAGACTACAGAGAAATGAGACCCTCAATTTCTCTTGTTGAAATGAATTCACACATAAACACACGTGGAGAGAATTCTGCATGGTGAAACAGCTTCTCGTCCTGCTAATTATCCTTGTCAGACAATTTCCAACAAACCCCTTAAGGAATATTGAGGGATTTGGGGTTGAATAAACTAAAGCTCCAAAAATACCACAATGTCCTCTGCTATCACTTGGCAATTCCTTCACAGAATCTCAGTTAAAAGGAGATGGACTAGTATCTGAGGAAAATATTTAAACTGTAAATTATTTCAAATATTTACAATCATTATCAGCTTAAAGTAAAACCCAGACTCCTTCCATGTCAGACAAAGCTCTTCCTGATCTGGCCCCTTCCTACCCCTGATGTCCTCTCTTCCCTCCTCCCTAACACTCTCCCCTCCTCACCTCCTTTCTGTCCCTAGACTTTGCCGAGATCATTCCCACCTCAGGGTCTTTGCACCTGTTGGGCCCTCTGCCTGAATGGGCTTTTCTCACAAGCTTTGTATGGCTCTCCACTTCATTTCACAAAGTTCTCTGCTCAACTGCCACCTCCTCAGAAAAGCCTTCCCTCCCTACAAAATCTAAAATAATCCTTTTTTTTCTCCCATAAACTTGTGAGCTCTGTGAGTGCAGGGACTTTATCTGCCATGTTCATGACACTATTCCTAGCATGTCAAGGAACACGGAAAACATGGCAGGGCTTTTTATTTAAGTGTTGACAAAATAAAGAGATCAACTGATATTTGGAAGGCAAAGCATGATGAGAGACAGATGTGAACTGCTTTCTTGTAGCTACAATATTGTTATCTCATTTCTGATTTATTTTTTGGAAGTCTTCATGGAATGGGTCTCACCTCAAGAATTATTTGACAGGAAGGAGAATTTATTTTATTTTTTTTTTAATTAGCTAGGATAAAGGGGACATATAGCCAGGTTTCTGAGATCAACTTTTTAAAATGACATCTGAGGTTGACCTAGATGTCACAAATTAAGACATTGAACACAGCCCTGAAAACAGAGAAATACATTTAAATTATTTAAATACACTGAAGAGATGATTACAAAAATTAACTCGGGAAATCCAAACCTCCATTGTGAAGCTGAGAGTGAAGTGTCCCTAAAGCAAAGACCAGCTATCTGATGGCCAGAGAGGCCCTGAGGCTCTTCTTTTTTTTTTTTTTAAGATTTTATTTATTTATTTGCGAGAGAGAGAATGAGAGACAGAGAGCACGAGAGGGAAGAGGATCAGAGGGAGAAGCAGACTCCCCGCCGAGCAGGGAGCCCCATGTGGGACTCGATCCCGGGACTCCAGGATCATGACCTGAGCCGAAGGCAGTCGCTTAACCAACTGAGCCACCCAGACGCCCCCTGAGGCTCTTGCTGCATCATCACAGCCCACTGCTGGCCACGACTGGCCCTCAGAGAGGCACCTCCTCCGTGAAAAGAATGCAAAGCACAGCTCCCACCTGCACAGTAAAGGCCACCGGGCACGGTAATACCCACCCCTCCCTCTAAGGTGGCCATGGAGAGTTTTCAAAGAACATCGCCGTATAGTATCTCATCTGTGCTCACAACTTTGAAATAGAGAAGGACTTTTCTGAACCCATATGACCGTTCAGAAACAGGACAGCGGTGTGCAGTGACCCATCCCAGCCACTACAAAAGAATGATGCCTGAGCTGTCACATCTTCTGACTCCCAGCCAAGAGTTCTGGCCACAAGACAGCACTACAACTTTGATAGTAAGTTATTATCCTACCACAGACACAATCCCTGTGGAGAAGGCCAGAGGTCAGTGTTCTATTTCTGTAAGCCACAGAAAATAAGTAAGGATTAAATGTAGGCCAACGAAGACCATCACTTCAAGAGGCTTCTTTGCAATACAAGTATAATGATAATACTCAACACATATTGATTGAGGTCTTATTATTTGACATGAACTCTATCAGATCTGGGGGAAAAATGCTAAAAGGAAAAACAAACAGAGGCAGTGTCTGTCCCTATAGAGTTTATACCCAGCAACCTAGTATGAGCACTAAGAACAATTGCAAAACTAGTACTACCTGCCGTTCACTGGGTACTTCCTGTGTGCCTACCACGACATTCGGCATATTACATCTCCCGGCACTCTCCTACCTCAAAGCCTTTTTGCACCTGCTCTGCCCTCTTCCAGGAACACACATAGCTGCTCCCAAACCTCCTTTGAGTCTGCTCAAATGTCATCTTCTGATGAGGACTTCCCTGGCCACACAATTTAACTGTGCAAGTCTCCACCCCTTGGTACTGTTGATTCCACTTTCTCTGTTTTATTTTTCTCCAAAACATCTATTATGTGCTAATATATTGTAGGGACAAAAGTGACCTATTTATTATATTGATTTTGTATTTTCCCCACTAGCTTGTAAACCCTGTGAGTTCAGATTGCTTTCCCCTGTTTTGTTTACTTGAAGGTCCCCACTCCACCCTAGGAACAGTACCGGGCACACAGGGGCTGTCGAATGAACAATGATCCAATGACTGACTGAGTGAATGAATGATGTTATATGCAAGTAGCTGCCAGAGCCCATGAGTGTCCTGAAACATGAAATGGAATTAGGATTCTCCAAGGCCCCGTCCCAGGTCTTGAGAATGAAAATCAAGGAATGCCTCATGCATCTGTCCTAGCGTGTTTTAGAGCAATTCAATAACTTTAAATCAGCTTTAAAAAGGGGGAAAGTCTCCGTTGACCCGAGAGGTAAGGCAGAGCCAGCACAACCTCCTGCCTTCGCCTTGTAAGGGAGGGCAGAAAGAGTAAGGGCTCAGTGGGGGTCACAGATGGCCCCCAACACCATGGCACCAGTCCCCAGAGACCGTCCACCAGGTGAGCCGCTGCTGAAGCCCGTCACCCCGGGTGCCAGTGGATAGAACCGGGTACAAAGGGCAGGTCCCCGCAGCAATGCCCAATTCACCATGCTCCGTTCCACCAGGTAGAGAATAAAGAGCTGGAAGGAAAATATGATGAGAATTAATGACCTCGTTTAAGAGCTGCTGTCTTCATCCATGAGCAGGATGCATGAGCAGCATCGGGAGGAAGTAAAGACTGATTCACGGGCTGCCAGGAGAGATGCTTCTAGTAAAGATGACAAAAGCTAAAAATGAAGCTGTCCGTTGTATGGATTTCTGCAGGGATTCACAAGAATGACTGATGTGATGGAGAACACGTGCGTACATGCACACTGGGACACAGACCGGCGCTCAATGCACTACACGGTCATCGATCCCTTCTTTAAAGTAATCAGTTCATATGAATGCTACTTGCTTGGGTCATCTATTAGCTGCTTCCCCAACAATGACAACTACCTGCCATTGTACTCTCGAATACTTCAGGCTAGTTTCACTGAAAAAAAGAAAACCGGTCTGTTTTGATTGCATAACAGCAAATCTAAGATAAAATGCAATAATCATCAACCTGTTGTGGAGGTTACTAACTACCATGCTGGAATCCCATTAAGTTTGAACTACAAGCAGGAAACAACCAAACTGCCAAAAGATCATAATGAATAGACTTGACTTTGGGGGTACTCAAAATTTAACAGGTGATGTTTTTTCTTGGCTATAATTTCTAGTCTCCAATGATGGGGTGGGGATGATTAAGTCTTTGTAATACCAGCTCTAAGGGAGAATAAAGAAAAAGCCCACAGATTAATGTTGTTCTGCTTACCACCCACCAGCAAGCTCATTGATGAAATGCTGCTTGTTATTGCATCATTAATCACCTATTTAAGCCAAATTTTTTCACATTATACAACTAATCTGAAACTATTCTTTTCATATTTTATTTTAGACTTTTCACCTGTTTCAGATCATTTATACTGCAAGCAAGAGCTTTCACGGGGATGCACACAGGGCATGATGGGAGGCCAGACAGGAGCGAAGGGGCCTGCCAACCCCACGACTTGGGATGCGAAAGCCCTCTCATGCCACACGTTAGCCATGACCTGTTTTCCTTCCTTAAACTGCTGCCCCCGTTTTC